CCTGTGATGCTTCTCTCTTTCCCAGTGTCTGAGAGTCAGTTATGCCTGAACATTTACTGAGCTCAGGTTCTGGGAAGGTATAAAATAAAGTCTTCAATCTCAAGTGGTTTCCAGTCTAGTATGGAAAATGGAACGTCAATAAGCAAATGTGTAGCATCACATTAAGTAGCTCTAAGGACACTAGAAAGAAAACTGAACAGGATAAAAGAGTATGGGGAGGGGAGCACCATTCTTTCAAAAGTGAGGAGGAACAGTCCTCCTGAAGAAAAACTTGAGAAGAGGCATAAAAGAAGTGGTTTCTGGGGAAACAGTATTCCTGCCAGATGACATGTCTCACATGACAGGGTCCTGGTTTGAAATCACTCAAAAAGCATAGTGACTCTGGGGAGCTCAACGCCAGGCCATAGGAATTAGCAACTCAGACTGGCAAAGGGCTTAGGTGTTTTGCAAGAGGACTGATTGTCTGAGGCAGTTAAGAAGAGGTCAAAGGCATGAAATTCAAAATTAGTGAGCCATAAAAATAAAAATATGCTCTTTGATGTAATTACCACTAGTCCCATGTGGATATTTAATTTAAAATTAGTTAAAACTTAACAAATTAAAATAAAATTCCTCCATTGGACTGGCCACATTTCACAATAACTACATATGTCTAGTGACTACCATTTTGGCAGCGCAAATGGAGAACCTTTTCATTACAGCAAAAAGTTCTACAGGACAGCGCTGATATAAAGGACTATGAAACAAATCGTTCATTGTATTCAGAGTGTATAAAACTTGAATATACTGTTGTCAAGAATATAAATGAAAGTACATGTACTAAATTTAAAAATTAAAATTACTTTCCATATTAAAAAAAAAAAATAGTGGGCCAAGTAGTGAAAAACAATGGACGCCTATATATTTCACAAACTTTTTCATTTTTTTGATCACTGTGAACAGAACCTCAAACAGGTAAGAAAAATGTCATTCTTTCACAGAACCCCATGCTGGGCTTCCTTGGACTGGACATGACAGCACATTGGCCACAAGGCGGGCTGGGGTTCAACCCAAATTTGGTTGGGATTCAGACTCTACCACTTACTAGCTGTATCTCTTTTAATCTTTACTTTCCTCATCAGTAAAATGGGTACAATACCTGATTTCCTGCATAGGGTTTTGAGGGTACCAAGAGATGGTACATTGAATGTGCACAGCATGCTGCCAGGTATACATTAGAAGGGCAAAAAATGTTACATTTACAAGATGTCAATATAATTATAAAAGTACTACATGCCCAGCATGGAATAAAATGGATATGGAGTTATTAAGAAAAACGTTATTTCATAATAGCCAGTCATTTCCACTGATTTCTATTTAGTTTATAGGGGAGCTTCTTATCATAGTAATCTTGATACTTTGGATGCTTCACTTGCTGCAATAAGGTTCAAGACCAACACTGATCTCAATCTATTAAATCTATAAATCTATTTATTAATGAGTGGAATACTAAGGTCCGCAACTGTATTGATAGTGATGGCAGGAAAACAAGGGATGGAGACTGGGCTACATTCTGAAACTCAGGGCAAGGTTTTCCTGCTTGAACACCATTAAAAAGACAAGTAAAATTTACTTAACAAAAGTGCTTTCCCAGAAGCAGTGAGACCTTCTGGATGCTCAGCGTCTGCCTCAGTTCAACTCACAAAGGTGCTCTATGAATGAAGAATGACAACTGTGCTCTTCTCGAGAAGGTACAAATTACAAAAGGAAATGGGTGGTCTGGGGAGGGGAGCTCCAGAACAAAGGGAGACACTGTTCCTGTAACACTCAATCACAGATGCCACTAACAGGATGCGGGCATCTCTGAGGGACCGTAGGCAACTTGTTCAAAGCCTGGTGGAGAAAAGTTCCCAAGTGCAGAGCTGGATTATCTGTCATTCTGACATCTAGAAGGGAAAGGGGTAGCTGGACCATAAAAGGCTGATGTTGCTGCCAACTCATGTTCAAACTGTTAGTTAACATGTTCACCTTCAAAGCACCTTTCTTTATGGGGTGGATGGAACAGATCGTGGTTCTACAAATTGGGAAAATGAAGCACCTCCATTAACAACATCTGGAAAAATGACCGGCCTAAGCTCCCACGATGCAAAAAGCTACACTGACTTAGGGAACAAGGATACCAGCCACTTACTAGGTGGCTCACTGCCATAGGAGCTGTGCAAGTATCTTACGCTCAGTATCTTGTTATCTTCATGAAAATCCATGAGGTTGGTACTGGCTTTACCTCCATTTTACAGATGAGGAAACCAAGATTCTGGGAAAGTTACTTAGCCACTGAGTGGTCTGTCTGCAGCTAGAGATTATCATTTGAAACAGCTATAGCACTCCTGTCCAACAAAGAGTAATTTGGAGATTCAGGCAAAATAAGAGATTCTGAGAATTGGCTACAGAAGAATTACTAACAAATGGCTACCATGAGAATAGGAGAGGTTAAACAAAAGATAGGGCCAAGTAAAAGTTACACAGATAACTTTATACATTGAGTGAGTCAGTCAAGGTTTTGGTATCAGTAGCAGCAACTAGGGAAAAGTGAAATATGACCTGAATCAAGGATATTGACATTATTTCATGGTGTCCATTTTTCCTCTCAAGCCCTATCTTTCATCACAGAATGATTGATTTGTCCATCCGTGGGAGAATCCTAAATGACCACCCAGTCAATGGGGGACATAGCAGCTGCCACACAATCACAGGAGATAGGGATGAAAGGCCCTAGGAGGTCAACTGTAAGCAGTCAATCTCTGGGCAGTGGTTCCCAGGTCCCTCTGTCTGCACTGTGCTCTTCCACCTGGACCCAGGCAACCCTTCCTTCTTCCTGCATATTTTGCCCATTGGACTATAAGCTTCTCTTAAGGAAGGTATTTATGGAACTTAAAAACACCTTTCTCACCACCATCCCACAGGAAATAATAGCACTAGGTAGGCATGTTTACTTTGAGGCAATGGTGAGCTACCTTAAGATGCATTCAGACTCTAGAAGTTTGAGAAGACAATTCTTATTCCAGAGAGTTCATCAGGATTTCCATGATGCAGAACTGATAGATGCCACTCAGTATTAGTGGCCCGTGACCAAGAGTTCTGAGAGATAAGCAAATTTGGAAGCCAAAGAAACATTCCTAGATGAAAGCATTTCCATTATGAAGGTAAAATATCATAGAGCATCATTTCCCATGAAAAAAGCCATGAGACTTCAAAATTTGTCATCTCTGTATCTTCTCCTTTCATATTTTACTTTGTATTTTTGTATATGTTTACTGATGAATGATGGAAGTACTTTCAGGGGAATTTATATGAATATGTTTAATTCAATTGTTATGAAGGTATTACAGAAAGAAGGTATTATATGCATATTGGTAGGTGGCTTTTATTTAAATCAATCTGAAAATGTAACTAAAGCAGATAGTAAAAGGGGACTTCCCTGGTTGTCACGTGGTTAAGAACCCAGCTTGCAATGTAGGGGACCTGGGTTTGATCCCTGATTGGGGAACTGAGATCCCATATGCCACGGGGAAACTAAGGCTGTGTGCCGCAACTAGTGAGCCCATGTGCCACAAGGAAAGATCCTGTATGATGCAATGAAGACCCTTCATGCCACAAATAAGATCCAACTCAACCAAACAAATAAATAAAATAAGAGGACAGGAGAAGGTAGCTGAGAAATCAAATATGAAGCCTATAATAATCAGGAATCAAGAGAAACCAAATGGATATGGATGAAGAATTACATGAGGACATAGTACCTTATCACCTCTATTTCCAACACTGTATAAAGCCAGAGGGAGCATTGCAGAGTGGCCCAAACCTATATGAATCCTGGGATCTAAAAGTAGAGTGTTGGTTTAGCTAAATGCTAAAAAGATTCAGATATAGCAGCTCAGCTCCACTTTAAAAGACAAATCCTGAGACATTTTGCAAAATCATGATTGGGAAAAGAAGAAAGTGCAAAGGTGTCTGAAATTCAGAGTCGGCTGCAATGAGTGGGGGCATCCCAAAAGTCAGATCTTTCTTGAACACTAATGGATCAGGTAGTGTACAAAGCACTTTTTATCTACTTCCTCATAATTGCTGAAATAACTCTTGTGAACTACATATTATTAAATGTCCCCATTTGACAGTTAAGGACGTTGAGACAGAAAAATTAAGTAATTTGTCCAAAGGTACCAGCTAGCAAACGGTTCAACAGTGAGTGAAACCTAAGCAGGCTGGTCCTGCAAACAAGAACTCTTCATCATTCTACCGTCTGCATAACGTGGAGGGCATCTTGGTAAGCAGATCACCCAGGATTACTGTGCTTCTTGTTCAGGCAAACTTTGTGCTGGTGTTAGAGAAACACTTTTGATATAGGTTTACGTCACACTGAGTTCTTTGTACCTACTTTGAAACCAAAGATCTGAAGCTGAAATTCCAAGAGAGTATGGGGACAGAGTAATAGGGAACTGGGCTGAGAATTCCACCAAGTCTCTTCTCTACCACTAACTCACAGGGTGAATGTGGTCCATTCACTTGTCTTTGAGAAAACTGAGGCTTAATCATGTCTAAGGCCACATTCAATGCTGGATTGTAAATGACCCAGACAGGCTTTTTCAATGACTTGGTAACAGAATGGTTACATTTAAAATACTTGTGTTGAAAGAAAGTGAAAGTGAAATCACTCAGTAGCATCTGACTCTTTGCAACCCCATGGACTGTAGCCCGCCAGGCTCCTCCATCCATGGGATTTTCTAGGCAAGAACACTGGAGTGGGTTGCCATTGCCTTCTCCAGGGGGTCTTCCTTACCCAGGGATTGAACCTGGGTCTCCTGCATTGCAGGCAGACTCTTTACCGTCTGAGCCTCCAGGGAAGTAATTAGCTAATCTAACGTTCTATTTCCATATATCACTGTGCATATAAATGTATGCATTCTCCCTTTGTGTTTGAAGATTAATAAACCAATCATGTCAGAGAAGCAAATGGTACATACTATTTTCTTATCATAGGACTCTCCACTGCTGTAGGTTGTGGCCAGCGTGGATGAACACTCTTCCAGGTACCAAGGCTTCTTTCCACTTTCGGCTGTGCTGCTGATGGAGATGGTATAGATGCTGTTGGTGTAGCCATCACAGGAGCAGTGGTCTTTGCTCCTTCCACCATTTCCTGACGCCCAGACAAAAACTGAGCCGAGGCCTCTCCGCCCCTGCACGCAAACAGAAATAGGTCACAGACTCTGCATGAAGACAAGATCAATATCAACACAGCAGAATCAAGCATTTGCAGGAGGGGTATGATGCTTGCCAGGTGGCTCAGTGGATAAAGAACCTGCCTGCAATACAGGCGACGCCAGAGATATGGGTTCGATTCCCGGGTCGGGAAGATCCCCTGGAGGTGGGCACTCCAGTATTTTTGCCTGGAGAATCCCATGGACAGAGCAGCCTGGCTGGCTACAGTCCACAGGCCGCAAACTGTTGGACATGACTGAAGCGACTGAGCACAGCACAGGATGCTATATTAATAATATGCTGGATCTGAGCTGCTTTCTGAGGTTAGAGGGGTTGCTTTTAAAAATGAAAATAATTCAAATGCAATGTACAGCCTGATGACTATCGTTAATACTGTTATATTGTACATTTGAAAGTTGCTGAGAAAGTATATCTTAAAATTTCTTATCACAAAGAAAAATATTGCAACTATGTATGGTGATGGATGTCAACCAGACTCACTGTGGTGATCATTTCACAATTATATACAAATATTGAATCATTAATGTTGAATACTTGAAACTAATGTCAACTATATCCCAATTAAACAAAGAAACAAAAATAATCCCTTTCACCTGATACAGTCATAGAAGTAACAAGAACATCAACAATAACAAAAATAAAGGCTAACATTTGCTAGATACCTACCATGGGCCAAGCACCATTCTAAATATTTTACATGAATTGGACTGAATTCCTCCAATGACTGTGAGAATGGTACAAAGTTTATCCCCCTCATCCAGATAAAGAACTGAGATACAGAAGTAATGTTAAGGTCATAAGCCAGTAAACGGTAGGACAAAATTTGAACCCAGACAGGCAGACCTCAGAGGTGGCATATTATTAGTCACAACTATCATAGTCATATGATATTCGTATAAATCTACATCCACATGAAGTGGGTGCTATTATGTACCCTCATCTGATATATGAGCAATGTGAGGGGTACAGAAGTAACGTATTTCCTCTGAGATCACACGTCAATAAAGGGCAGAATTTGGGACAATGTCTTTCATTCTAGAGCTGTGTCTCCTCTATGTAAGGCAGGGACATTAATTATGAGGGAGGCTAATAGATGCTACCAGAAATATAAGGATTTCAAGATCAACTATGTTTGGGAAACTGAATTAAGCAAATTAAACAGGTTCCCTTTTTGCAGAACTTCGAAGAGTCTTTAGGTGAGTGATCATTCATTGCAAAACCCTAACAGGGTGGCATGATTTGTAATTTCCAAACATATTTGCTTGTGGATATCTTCCTCAACTAGATCCAAGAAGTTTTTGGTTTTTCTTACAAAACTTGGCATAAGCTCAGCAAAGAACATAGATGTATTGACTATTTTTCTATATAAGATGATATTTTCAGGAGAAAAGAGAGAAATAAGTCAAATTGAAGAATATTTCTCAGAACAGTTATAGCTGAATCCTTCAGAAATTTTACCATATCGAATCTATAAGGCATGCTGGAGGAACCTAGGCCAAATCTATCATTTTGCAATTAGGAATACAATAGTGTGTGCTAAGTTGTATCTGACTCTTTGTGACTCCATGGACTGTAGCCTGCCTGCTTCCTCTGTCCGTGGGGTTTCCTAGGCAAGAATATTGGAGTGGGTGGTCACTTCCTGCTCCAGGGGATCTTCCCAACCTAGGGATTAAACCTGTGTCTCTTACGTTTCCTGAATTGTCAGGCAGATTCTTTACCACTAGTGCCACCTGGGAAGCTAGTTTTTAATTAGGAAGTGAGAACCAAAGTTACAAAAATAGTAATGCTTAAATTTCTTTCCAGGCCCCAAGTCTTCTGGTCTCAGAGTATTTAGTGTGTTGTCCTGGAATTTCTAGAAAAAGAGCCAAAGAAAGAAAGATGACAAAGAATCTGGAGTATCTTTGATAAACTCTCCCTGACCTTCAATTTTCAAGGAATAGAATATTTATGACAGGATTTGACTAGACCTGAGCAAAGATTTCTTTCTGTCCTTCAATGTGGAAAAATGCAATATGACTACACAGGAATGGGAAAAATTCATGAAGAGAGGGGGAGAAACTTCTGGATGTTCCTGCCACTAGACAGCTGGGCCTGGTTTACCATCCTTCAATTTCCCATCCAAATATTCACGAAACAGAGAAAGACGCAAAAATCACCCAGATATCATAAACTGAGGATTTTGTTCAATGCTTCTAATTCTCTAGAGGGAATTACTCCTCACTATGATGTGGATGGCAAGATTGAGAAACTCTGGTGACTGATCCATATCTATCTCAGAGACATTATGTCACAGCCAGAGAAGAATAAGAAGGTCCCATTTCATCACCAACATGTGTCCTTTCCATCACACCCTGAGGAGCTCTATCATCAGGAAAAAGCATGGTCACGTGGGAGCTTTACCCGACCAGTCAACAGAACGCTTGAGATGATGCCAAAACTTACCTGGTTTAAAGAGCCCCATAACAGATGACGGCTTAAAGCCCACAAAACAATGGAAAAGCACATATGGCACAATCACATTTATATATCTATATAAAATTATGACTGTGTGCTTATGTATAAACTTCAATGAAAACATTTTTAAAAACATATTCTATTTATTCCAATTTAAAAGAACAAATAAAATAAAAGGCACCGTTATTATGTGACTCAAAAAAAATATTCTGTAAGACAATGTTTGGAAGATACTTTTGTATTGTAATATCATTACAAATGTAGGATACAAAATGATATAGTACAATCTCAGTTTAGAAGTGTATGTGCTTGTGTATGTAATGAAGTTAATACACAATACAGTAATATGCTTAAAGCTACCATCAGGTGACAATGTAATAGAATTTCTCCTGCTCAATAAGATTAGAAAGGAATTTTATTTTATTAATACCATCCTACTGTGACCATGCAGGATTTTTATAAATAGAAACAAACACATTTATTTCTCCATTAAGACCGAAAATCCAGGGCTAATTCTTAACAGATAATTTCTGTTTTATGATCAAAAGGAATTTTACATGTAGAAGGTCCATTGTGCCCTGAAAACAACAGAGGCTAACATTTACAGAGGCTTCCTATACATCAAGCACTGTACAAACATTTTTCTGTTTGTACACAATCAGTTCAGTTCAGTCGCTCAGTTGTGTTTGATTCTTTGCGACTCCATGGATTGCAGCACTCCAGGCCTCCCTGCCCATCACGAACTCCTGGGGTTTACTCAAACTCATGTCTATCAAGTTGGTGATGCCATTCAACCATCTCACCCTTTGTCGTCCCTTTCTCTTCCTGTCCCCAATCCCTCCCAGCATCAGGGTTTTTCCCAATGATCAGTTCTTTGCATCAGGTGGCCAAAGTATTGGAGTTTCAGCTTCAGCATCAGTCCTTCCAATGAATATTCAGGACTGATCTCCTTTAGGGTGGACTGGTTGGATCTCCTTGCAGTCCAAGGGACTCTCAAGAGTCTTCTCCAACACCACAGTTCAGAAGCATCAATTCTTTGGTGCTCAACTTTCTTTATAGTCCAACTCTCACACCCATACATGACTACTGGAAAAACCATAGCTTTGACTAGACGGACCTTTGCTGGCAGAGTAATGTCTCTGCTTTTTATTATTATTGTACACAATAATTCTGCACAATTCAAGTCTGTATCAATTTTTTTTTTTAATGGATGAGTAAACCGGGACTCAGAAATGCTCACTAATGCCAGACCCAAAGCTTAAATCCAGCTGAGCCTGGTAAAGGCAAACTCCTGAGGAGGAGGGTATGGAGTCTGTCTGTAATCACCCCACTGCCACATCCTGGGGCCTGAAGGAAGCCAGGGAGAGGGAGTCACAGAAACTGGAGACTGTGGGGCTAAGCAGAGCTGAAAATTGGCCAGGGGATGTGCCAGCCCATGTTGGTCCTGCAGGGAAGGAGCCCAGGGTACTATGCACTGAGCAAGACCCTGTCCCTTCCTCCCTGTCCCTCATTTTTCACTAATGTGCCCACTGGCTGGACGCCACCAGAAGCCAGAGGACCTGGAGCCCGTAGAGATCAGCATCCCAGAGCAGGAAGCTTGTGGAAAGAAGGGGACAGGAGAGCTGGAGAGTCTATTGGAAGATAGACTCTCTTTAAGACCCTCTTTAAGCTATGCTAGGGTCTGAATTGTGTCCTCTCAAATTCATATGTTGAAGTCCTAACGCCTGAGGAGACTGAAACAAGAGCCTTTAAAGAGGTAACTGATGTTAAATGAGGTCATAAGAGTGGGCCACAATCAGACAGGATGGTGTCCTTTTAAGAAGATGAGACAACCAAAGTGTGTGAACAGAAGGAAGACCTCCTAAGAACACAGCAAGAAGGCAGCTGTTTGCAAGCTGAGGAGAGAGGCATTCCCAGAACTGAACTCTGCCAGCGCCCTGAGCGTGGACTTCCAGATTGGAAGCCTTCAGACTGTGAGAACATCCATTTGTGCTGTTTCAGCCACCCAGGCTGTGGCATTCTCCGCGGGCAGTCTGGTAGTGAATGATACAAGGTGAGAGGAGGAGATAAAGGATGAGTAGACCCCCCTCCCCGCCCCCAGGCTACGAAACATACAGATGCTGCCACCGCTTTTGTCTACAAGGCAACCAGACCTCTGCCTGTGTGTACAGCCGATGATTAAAGTCCCAGAAATAAACAGACTGAATTTGTGGGCTGAAAATGCCATACAGACAGCTGCTAAAGATCTAGGGGGCTAATCTGAAACAATTAGTAATTCAAAGGTTTATTTACTATAGATGAACAGGGAATTTTCATTAGTGTGCAATATTTGGAAAACCAAAACATATGGGGTAAGAAGAAATCTGGACCTTTCTCCGAAATTCAGAGTAATTTCAGAATTAAATCTTAATGTGGGATGTAAGAAGAAGGGAAGGTGGGCAGAAGATTTTAAAGAGAAAAAAATACTGAGACATATTTCCCCAAAGTGTAGGAAATAACATTA